ATTAGTAGTTGACTAGGGCTTGAAATAGGGAGTTGGGAGGGATTAGGGGGTGATGGCTAAGGTGTACAGAGCTTCTTTTGGGGTGATGAAAATGTTCTAAAATTGACTGTGGTGAGGGTTGCACAACTCTGTGACTATACTAAAAGCCACTGAGTTGTACACTTTAAATGGGTGAATTCTATGCTATATGAATTATATCTCAATAAAGCTGCTAAAAAAAAAAACAAACAGATTTCTGGGCTCAGTCTGATTCAACCTGAGCATTTTATTTTTAACCAGCTTACTAGGTGATCTTGATTACAGGTAGATTTATATAAAGCATTCCAAAAATAAATGATCTTATTATGATGCGTACATCCCAAGCTTTACCTCCTACCAGAGTTCATGGATTGGTGATAAATGCAGACTAAAAGCACTGTCCATTATTCTGAAACAATTCCATTGGCTTGGATTTTGGCACCCAGAGAAGCAGCGAACTCTCTAGCTGCATTGTCTCTTCTCTGTTGCTGGAATTCCAAAGACTTGAACAGGGACACAGACTGTGTTGCTGTGTATGATCTAGAGGCAGGGAAGTGAAACTTTCTGACTCCCATGTGATTTGTTTTCAAACAGTATCAGATAAAGCTCCATCTAACCTACCACAGAAGTACATCCCATAACTTGAGACTTCTGCCTGAAAGAGTCTGGTGCGAGGGCAGCCACAAAACAGCTGCTGACTTCAGCAGGCTCTGCACAATAGGAGCTGAACAGGCAAACATGCTCACTTTTTACCCACAATCATAAAAATCGCTAAATGTTAGGACCAGGCATGATTTACAGATCGAGCTCCAGCTTCCCATTAGGAGGTGAGAAAACCAAGGCCCCAGCTGGTTAGAGATCTGGGATTAGAATCCAGGATCCCAGATTCCCGGTCCGGTATACCTTCTACCACTCCAAAAGTTATCTACCCTTCCTAAAAGCTACCTTGGAACAAAACAGGTACAGGATTAGGTCTGCAGGGAGAACTCTGCATCATAAGAACATGAGTTCAGAGCCCAGCTGTGTGACCCTGAGGAAGTTACTGCATGTCCCATTGTCTCAGTTTCCTCATCTGGAAAATGTCATTAATAATATCTACATCACACTATTGTTATGAAGAGAGAAGGAAAAGATGTTCAATATGCTGCATGGTCCATAATGGATCCTCACTGATGGTAGCAACTGTGATTATTTCCACAGAGAAGTTCAAAGACAGGAAGTTAGAAAGCTGACTACACAAGTAAGCACTGCAGGACTCCCTCCCTTCCACCCCTCTGGAGAGCTGAACCCGGTCCCCGTCTTGGAAATGGTGATCTACGTGCCATGAGCATCCCAGTGACCCACACAGATTCCTGAATTCGTGGAAAACGGAAGCACAGAGGAGTCTTTCCTACTAGAGAGGGTCATTGGGAACTGGCCCTGGGTGTCAAGGCTTCCCACAGAAATGTCTGGGGGATAAAAAAAGAGACTGCCCCAAATGCAGCATCGTGGGATTTCTATTTTGGCAAATTCAGAACGTCCCATCCGCTGGACCCCACACCCATCAGACAGAGGCCAGCTTTGTGTGCTCGGCCTAGCCAGGCCCAGCCAAAGGAGGGAGGTTCGTGATTCCTCCAAGGCCTGGGTTGAGGTCAACAGACTCAATGTGAGTTTCCTCTATGGGAAAAAGAAGAAAACTAGCCTGGGTGTTAGCGGTTAGTCAGTCACACACTTCTGGAAGGGTTATCGGGACCAGGCCAGCAAAAGTAGAAACCAAAATCAGTTCACTCAGCCCAGTTCTAGGATCTTGTTTCAGGTCAGGGTGGGAAGAAGTGTAGCATTAACAGCAATGGCTCTTCAGCATCTGACGCTTGCAGAGATATCACATCCAGCAGTTAAAGAGCTGAGACACACGCTGGGGAGGGAGGGGGTGATAAAAAGAAAGAAAAAGCAGGGGTACTGAAAACACGCTCAACATCACTAATTATTAGAGAAACGGAAATCAATACTACCGGAGATGTCACCTCACACCTGTTCGAATGGCTATCATCAAAAAGACAAGAGATAACAAGTGCTGGCGAGGATGTGGAGAAAAGGGAACCCTTGTAGACTGCTGGTGGGATGTAAACTGGTGCAGCCACTATGGAAACAGCATGGAGATTCCACAAAAAATTAAAAATATACCATATTATCTAGCAATTCCACTACTGAGTATATATCCAAAGGAAATGAAATCACTATCTTGAAGAGATAACTGCACCCCCACGTTCACTGCAGCATTATTCACAATAGCCAAGGTACAGAAACAACTGAAGTTGTTGACTGAATGAATAAAGAAAATGTAATGTATATATTCCATATATATAACGGAATATTATTCAGCCACGAAAAAGAAGGAAATCCTGCCATTTGCAACAACACGGATGGACCTTGAGGGCATTATGCTAAGTGAAATAAATCAGACAGAGAAAGATAAATACTACGTGATCTCATTTATATGTGGAATCTAAAAAAACCGAACTCATAGAAACAGAGATCAGATTGGTGGTTGCCAGAGGCAGGGTGGGGTAATTGGGCGAAGATGGCCAAAAGTTACAAACTTCCAATTATAAATAAGTTCTGAGGATCTAACGTACAGCATGGTATAGTTAACAATACTGTACTATCTATTTAAAAGTTGCTAAGAGAGTAGATCTTAAAAGTTCTCATCATAACGGAAAAAAAATTTACGTGAGGTGATGGATGTTAATTAAACTTATTGTGGTGATCATTTCACAATATATACATATACCAAATCATTATGTTGTACACTTTAAACTTGTACAATATATGTCAATTATATCCCAATAAAACTGGAAAAAAAAAAAGAAAAAGAAAAAGCAGGCGTAATTAACATGAGAACAGTTATCTGAGGGGCAAGGGGGAAACTAAAGAATTCACAAAAGTGGACATCCACTCTATCTACTCTACTTCACAGCCCACATGCTAACAAGTCCAGTCCTAGAGTTTCACAGAACCTCTGAGTGGGAAGAACACTTAAAACTTTATCCAGTCCAACCCTCTACCAGTACAATAATCTCATCCACATTTCCAAAAGTAACTGCCCAGTGACAATTACCTCCAGTGACAGGACCTCCACGCTCTGTGTTGCAACCGGAGAGAGCACGAATTCTTGGAAAGTTCTTACGCTCACCCAAAAACCACTTCCCTTTTGGCACTTCCATCCATTGGTCCTAGTTGAACTCTGGAATATCACAAAAGAAATGGAATCTGCCTCCTTACACTGCCTTTAAAATAGACAGAGACAGCTCTGAGCACTTTACGGTGCCACAGGGATGAGGCCGAATGAACAGCTACATGGTTTAAAGGGAAAATAAGGACTCAGGAGCAGACAAACATAAATGGCACAATCAGAAAACAAAGGGAGAGAGACAATACCGTCTTCAGAGCAGCCTCTACCTTAGACAGCCTCAGACTCAGAGCGAATCACCAAGCCTTTTGGGTCTCCTTACTTCTTGACTTCAAGAACATCTTTCAAGAAAACATGCTCTGAATGTACAAGTAAGCTCGTTACTGTAGACCAGGCTCTTGACAAGAGTCAGAGGGCCCTGATCATGTTTAAAGTAATAAAAGACAGAGAAAACCATTTCCAGCTGTCAGTATTTAGCTTGGATGTAATCCAGAGATAAGAAGAAAGAGGAGGGCGATTTCACAGCAACGTAGAAATAAGAAGTAGGGAAACTGCTTCCTGGACAACTCGATTAAGTCTTGTTGCAAGGCAGATACTAATGTATACTGGAGGAAAGACATCTCTGATTAGAAAACAAACAGACCTAGATGCAGAGAATGTCAAAGAAGAAGGAACCCTTAGGGAGTCCACCCCATCACTGTAGACTGGGAAACCTAAACTCAAACAAGGAAGGGAGTTGCCCAAGCTGGAAAAGCAAGTGTCAGATCTAGAACAAAATCTCCTGGTTCCCTATTCTCGCTTCTTTCCATTACATCATGCTGCTATCTTATTTCAGCAAGCCTCAAATAACTGCAAAACATCCTCCAAATAACCAGTCTTCCCCAAATCTGCCAAGCTACAGAAAAAATAATGCAAAGGTCTTTGCATTCTTAAAGCTAATGCCAGGGCTCTCCACAACCTCAGCTGGGAGCCACCTACCCTTCCAGGAGCATAGGCGATTCTTATTTCATATTTTGATACGACTTACTCAAAATTGCAAGACAGAAACAAAACCTACAGAATGATGAGTTTGCAGAAAAATCGCCAACACTGAAACATGGAACCACACCCAAAGCCAATCCAATCCCGGCGATGGAGAATGCTGAGCTAAAAGCGGAGAGCAATGAAAGAGAAGGGTACAGGAAAAGGGTGCCTTTCCACATGTCAAGTTCTCCGCAGGAGGCGGCGCGGTGAAAAGCAAACGGGGCTGGAGCTGAGGGAGACTCGGATTCTAGTCGCAGGTCTGCAACTAACTCACTGGGTGACCGTAGACAACCCCTACCCCTTCCGGGGCCTCGATCTCCCAGACTGTCCCAGAACAGGGTTGCAGCAGATGATTCCCCAGGGTCCTTGCAGTTCTGGTATTCTACGCCCCTAAGACCCACTATTAGCCAGTCCGGAGCACGGCTCCCGCAGCGAGCCGGGGACCTGCCCGAGCCGGCCAGACCTCTCTGGGAAGCGGCGAGGAAGCCCGAGTTGGTCACTTGGGTGATCGCTCCCATCTGGGGACCCCAGCTTCCCCACCTGTCAAATAAGACGGGGATGTCAAGGGAGAGAGCGTGAGGGAAGAGGGATTCTCCAGTTCGCCTCCTCCCGGGAGGGGTGCCCGTATCGGACCACAGGTGCGGCCGGGGAGCCGAGACGACTCGGACCCGCTGCCCAGGCGGGTCGGTGCCCGACCCGGAGCATCCGCTGCGCCCCCAAGGAAGGCGAGGTGGGTCCTGCCGAAGGCGGCGACCGGCGCCAGCCCCAGCCCGTCAGCGCGCGGACTCACCGCTCGGGTTCCGGCTCCGGCTTCAGCTTCGGTCCCGCTTCAGCGCAGGGCCCCTCTCCCTGCCTCAGCTCCGGGTCCTGGTCATCCCCCTTAGCTGCCCGGCAGCTGCTTCCGGGCCCCGTCACGTGATCCAGGCTCCAGGAGACCCAGGTCACATGCTCCCGCGCGCTGCTGCTCCTCCCCGCTCACTGTGCTCCTGGGCTCGGCCCCGCAGCACCACTTGGCGGCCTATTTCTGCCACTGCAGGAAGGACCCTATTTCTGGGGCTGGGGACTGGGAGAGGGGACTGGGAGAGGGGACTGGGCGGGGCGTTGACCTCGGAGCGTCGGCAGTGAGGCCGGAGTCCAAGAGCTCTGGCCCCTGAGTTGCGAGCTTGTGCAAGATTGCTCATTTTCACACATGCCTTGTTTTTTAGAAGTTTACACAAACTCATTTGTGGTGCTAACTGGAAATGGGACTGTGAGGTAAGGCAACACTATCTTTGTAACACATTTCAAGTTTGTAAGCAACATTTTTAAATGAATGGCAACATTTCAGTATGTTTGAGGTGTAGGTATTATCTACTCTTCTCTTTCCTCCTTCTCGCATCGGATTTCACTCTTAAAAATTATGTAACTACTCAGCCAAAAAAAGGGGGGGAATGAACTATTGATACAGCTGCAAAATGGATAAATGTCAAAATAATTGTGCGTGGATAAATCTTAATTGTGCTAAGTGAAAGAAGTCAGAAAAAATATTCCATTTATATAATATTCTAGAGAATTCAAAATACTCTACAGTGACAGAAAACACATCAGTGGTTGCCTGAGAATGGGTGCGAGTGGGGTCAGGAGAGGAGAGAGTGATTATAAAGGGGCATAAAGAAACTTTCAAGGTGACAAATATGTTCAGTATCTTGACTGTGGTGATGTTTTCACAGGTGAAATATATATGCTGATATATATATATCATATATATATATATGCTGAAACTTATGAAATTATACACTTTAATTACATGCAGTTTATCATATATAAATTATACCTCAATAAAGCTGTTAAAATATCCAGTAAAAATTACCTAAGTAATACATTAATATAATGTATTAGAAACATTAGACAACATATAAGCATATAAACAGCGAAAATTCCCCTTCTCCCAAATTCACTCTCCTCTCCAAAGATTTGAAGTTACCATCATGTGAGTATTATTCTCCAAACCTTATATGATGTATTTATAGATATATATATACATCTATACAGAAATGTACAGATTTGTGGTGTTAAAATTTCAAATCTTGAATACCAGTACTTATTGTTTTGCTTAAAACTTTCACTCTTCACTGTCTATACTGTTTAAATTCTTTCTTAAATATATATTATTTTTGGGCCGGCCCCGTGGCTTGGTGGTTAAGTGCGCGCGCTCTGATGCTGGTGGCCCGGGTTCGGATCCCGGGCGCGCACCGAGGCACC